ATAAATAGACAAGATAGCATCATTGTGAAAATGTATACTCAACTAATTCATAAAAAAGTTTAGACATACATTTTGTTCTGTTAATCATATTTTAAAATAATTACGGTTAATATGAATCATCAATATCATAATTCAGTCTTTCTTTTACTATTTACTGTGTTATATTTTGGTGGTATACATTCACAATATGTTTTTATACAACATGTTGTCACTGGGTTGAGTCGAACAGAACTACTCTTAGCATATTGTCTTCACAGGCTGAGACTTGTTTTAGTTGAGCTTGTACATATTAGGATGTGTTCCCATAAAATACATTATTGATTTCAAACAAACAATGTGAGAATATCAAGTTGCAACAACATAATTTTTTCTTCCTAGTAGAAACAAGACTTAAGTTACTCAATTGCAGCAATTTTTTCTTCCTCTTGACACAGCAAAGAGGAAGAAATTTCAGGTGATGAAATCCGTCAAAATGATTAGGCAGTTTAAGTACATCATCACACAAATTTAAGTTGCAAAGATTCACAAGTTACAAGACATTGCGGTAACTCAAATGGCTGATGATGCCAAAACAACAATACAAGTTGTTGAACATTTCTTTTTGTTGATGCATGAATCAACCGCAACATATATGTGCTTTCAACCATATCGCTGGTACAACGGACAAGGTTAATTGTTTTTTGGGAAATTAAGAGAGAAATTCTTTGAATTTCACTTTATTTGAGTAATTAGTATCAAAGCGGAAGCAGGGGATGGTAGTGCATATGTATTTCCATCTTTTGGAGAATACAGTCACATCAAAAATACAGAGATTTGAAAGGATGTTTGTCAAGTATATCAACTGGCAATGAACTTATCGTATCAATCTCATTCATTGTTGATGTTACCATTCTATCATCAGAGTATCCAAAATTGTCTATATTAAGAAATAGAGGAGGAAAAAGGAAACGAAGAAGAACAACGCAAGGAAAAGGGGCTGAAAAAATATTTTAAAAAAAAAAATTGTTATGAAATTGATATTCCACGATTTTTCAAAATTATCTTACCAAAATAAATACATTAGAAGGCTGAAATTTGCTCTATCATTTGTTAAATCCAAACCGGTCGCTAATAACAAACGGTCAATTATTCAGATTACAAAACTGCAAAATCATCATCGCCAATGCCATGGCTAGACCTTTGTCAACAATCTTCAAATCGACGAAACCCCATATTCTGAAACCACCAAAACCCTCAAATTTTGAATCTAATCTCAAAGTTCCATCTTCTTCAAGTTGCAGCACATCAAGAAAGTCTGATGCAAATTCACAGCAATCATATCCGGAATTACTAACAAGCCCAGCTTCAAATTCAACGGAATTTAGTAATTCTAAGAAAAAAAAGTCTTTGTGGTGTGTATACCTTATTCTCTCCACAAATCCACCTATTAAGACCTATGTTGGTGTCACTACCAATTTCTGTCGCCGGTGAGTCTTGTTTATTCTAAGGGGAAATTAGAGAGCCTACTTTTGATTTAATTGATCATGTTAGAGTGGTATTCTTGTATGGACCTATGTTGGTGTCACTACCAAAAAAAAAAGTCTTGCTTTTGTGTTTGAGTTAGATACTTTTTTTTCATCTTTACATGTTATTGGTGCTAGGTCCATATCTGTTTGGGTTCCAGGTCTATGCTCCAGTTGGGAAGTGGGGTCTGGAATGCTTATATGGATATGAGCTAGTTTTTCGGATTGAGTTAGGTCGGAATGCCTAGTTTTTCTGTTAATGGTTTTTACCAATGTGTTAATCATTTCTAGCTTGTATGTTGTTGGTTATCCCTATTAGCGATGCTTATATTTATATAGAGAAAATAGGTAAAGAATTTCATAAAGGAAAAAAAGGGTTAACTTTTATAAGATCTCTTAGATGGAGTTATCCTACTGATCTCCCTGTTAGAAGCTGAATTTTTGTACTCTATCTCTCAGCTTCTCCATTGTGAAGGTATTACTCATTGTATTTTACTATTGTGCCATTCTTTTTGGTGGTTTGTAGCTTCTTTCTTCACTCATTTTTTCTAGTTTTAGATTCTTCGGGGAATTCATTCATCCTTGTTCTTCGTGCTCCGAAAACAACAACCAGTAGAAGCTTTAATTTAATAATTCTATGAAGAGTTGGATTGGTTGCAGTAAATGCCATAAATTGAATGAGTAGGTTCTACTATGACAAACGACAATCTTTATTCTACTGGTTGTTTTATATTCACCCAATTTTCGCACACATTTTAGGAGATTAGTGTTTTTTTAGGACTAAAGAGAGAAACTAATATATGGTGGTAAACTGGTTGTTGCCCTTCCATTGAGCATGTAGCGACTACTAACTAAGCTGCTGATTTCTAATTGGTGATATCTCTTTTATAGATTAAAAGAACATAATGGTGAATTAAAAGGGGGTGCAAAGGCATCTCGCTCAGGAAGACCTTGGATTTGTGCCTGCCTTATTCGGGGATTTAAGGGCAGAAGTGAAGGTACTTTCTTTATACAACTATTATATATGATGCACTTCTTTCTTTCATTAGAAATACTAAATTGCCTCCAAGTCTATAACTCCTGTTATACTAGCGCATGTTTAAGTTTTGACTACGCATACTTTTGTTGTTTAGATGTTCCCTTTTTGGTTTCCTTGATATTTATTCGGTTGCCTAGAATCATGATTCAATTTTTAAGCTAACCCCATCAAATATCAGTTGCAATTTTATGGCTGTGCATTCCTCCTGGAGCATGTACACACTTGAAAGATGGTAGCGTAGATGCTGTTAATGTTTCATTTTGTACTTGAACCAACAAGCCATTTCACCTAAGTTTCTTTAGTACTGATTCTATAGTTTTTATGAGTACAATTCATCTGTTGATTGATATGGATTTCGGTTCTGACGAGTAAATATGCAGACTATACCAAAGACTGAATCAAGGTATGACAAGAATAGATTGTAATCCGCTAGGTAGCTGGTGCCTATTAACTGGAGTAACACAGCCAACCACTTCTGCTCTCTTGATTCTTTGACCAAGCTCATCCTCCTAACAGCAATTCAAAAAATATGTCTAAATTGCTAGTTAAGATATAAGTAAGGTTTGACATGATAATGCATTATAAAGAGAGTGTAATTGATGTGTCTGTTTTCTTCAAAGTTCGTAATCTTGTTATTACCAAGGTCGAGTTAGGAGTTAACAATGTGAGTATTAGCTAGAGACGGATCATAACAGGATGGTCATAGCTTTTTCCTATATCTGGCCCAAAATGTCTGTAGGCATAGAACCATACAGTTCTCAATGTTGTTGGCAATTTTCGCAGTACAATTGGTTATGTTTGTCAGGGGGCTCAACAGTTTGTCAGGTTGTTCTGCATTTGCAGTATCTTCTGTATTTTATCAACAAACAGCTTTTATTTTCTTTTTCCTATTCTTAATGGTGAGCACTCAATTTTTCCATTTTAGCTATTTCATCTTTTAGACTCTCTTTGCTTCCTTGTTTTCATAAGAAATAGAAGCATATCGCCAGTTACCCACTAGTAGGTGCACAAGGTAACATTTGATTGTCTAGATCTACTGCAAAACACTTGGGATTTTGTCTATTCGCTGAAACTTCATCTAGGTAGCTGAATTTGTAGATAAAAGCAGTGTCTGTTTCTTGTTATGGCATAGTACTGGTGTACTTGCAGAAAATATCTACACAAGTGAAGCTCGCTCGCTCTTGTTCTGGAACATTCCTCAAATTGATCATCTCGCTCCACCTTATGCTTAGTTTGAATGCAATTCAGACATAATACTGAAATATATTACTAAGACAATCTCATTGTCCCAAACCTTACTTTTCTCTATATCATCAACAGGATAGCTAGAAGTGTTTGTGTAGTATGCGACTACTCTGCTTATGAGTATATGTGGAACTAGAGCATTGCCATCTTCATGTCTTTAACCTTTTATTCAATGTTGAATAAACTTCTCTCTTCCTAAAGCAGTTAACTTTCATTTGCTTTCACCTGGAGCTTAGAGTTCAAGCATGTTGTCTAACTTACTTTGCGACTTTGTGGTTGAGCTTGTAGCTTGTGCATTTGAATCAAAATGGAAACAAATTTCGAGAAAGCTTCCCCGTAAAAGGAAGAGTAGTACTGAGGAGCAGGAGCCAGAAGACAATGGATCTCTTGCATTATTACAGCATAGACATGCAGCTCTGGATCGCGTTCAAAGTTTGATTGATTGCAGTGACTTAAATATTGATTGGCGTTCTAATTTTCTCTGATTTAATGTATTGATTAAATGTAGCCACAGTTTTATACTTTTTCACTTGCAACGGTGACTTGTACAAATATATTTATTATAATCGGTCGATATCAAAATGAAGATGATACAAGTCTTGAACTATTTTGTCAATTTGATAATATTTTTGAACTTAGCAAGAGTAAATCAATTGTTATGTTCAATCTAACATAACTTGTTAAAACATAAATTTTCATTCTTCCCAATATGTAACACTAGTATTAATTTTACACAAATTACTTTAAATGGTGAAAAAAACTTTAAAAATATTACATATTGATATATGTTTGTGCACATCACTCCTAGAGTAGGATGATTTACAAGAATATGTTGTAGGTAAATAGTTTTAAACTTTAACATATTTACTTTGGGGATAAAACTTTAAAATCAATAAGTTTATTTTAGACCTTAGAACAATGTCGTGAAAAGTTCGAACCACTCAAGTTATTAGGTGCAAGTCTAGAGTATGTCATACAAGCGTGTGAATATAATCAGCCATTTTTTTACACATGTAATTGAATAATTATCACTTTATAAAATACCAAAATATTACCGGTGAAACTCGGTAACAATATCATATTTTAAAAATATATCCATTGTTAATGGCTATTTTTGAAAAGATGATTAGAAGTGGTTAGTGGATGTAAACAGGCTTATGGGTAGGAATCGGGTCGGATGATTCCTCAACCGCGTCGTGGATTTGAGAAATAAATTCGGGGTCAGATTATTAGGGCTTTGAACAATCAGTGTGATTGATAGAGAGAGCAGTAGAAGAAAATTGGTGCATTGATCGAAGAGATTTAAGCATGTCGTTGATGAAGGGAGAGCCATTGGTGAGGAAGATCGCGCTGATAGCTAAGTACGCAGTTTTTCCGGGAGCTATGGCTGCTGCCGTGATCTACTCTCCTCCCACTTATGCTTCTTATTTTAAGCCCCAATCTTCTGCTTCAAAATAAACTGGGGATACCCTTTTGTTTTCCTCATGGGTACGTGCCGTTTTCTCTTATTTTAGTCACTTCTAGGGTTTGAAATTAGTATGCGATATCATTGCTGAATTCATGCTATCTCTAGATTTCAGTTGACCTAATTTATGTTTTGGGTATCTGATGTCTACCACTTGCATATCCTTGGAATTTTAAACTGATTCTTGTCTCAGGGTTTTTAATGGACTATTTGATCATTTTGATATAATACGTAATTAATATCTCGATATAGCTCCAGTAAGACCAATCGACTTGATAAGCTGAAAAGGAGTTAAATTGGGACGGACGGAGGGTTGTTTGCCCTTGTTTGTGATTTCTTCGACGTTTTGGATTTTGGATGCCATGATGTGAATATTTATGTTCCTAACTTTTATTGGCCTGAATTTATAGTTGGGTATATAGTGCGGATTTACATTTTCTTTTTTAAGCTTGTGATTAGTCTTCTATGGTTCCTCGGTGTGTTGTGCCTCATTTAGACGGGGATGTCACTTGAGTTACCTTGGATTACATTTGTTTTGTATTTTGTGAAGAGGAAAAAGTAAATATCATTGTTAGGTGTAAAACCTGGACTTTTGATTGGTTTGATTGTGTTTCCTGGTTATCTGGGAAGGAACTGTGTTCATGTGGTGACACTACAACAGTGTGAATGCTGTTTAGATTACTAAAGACTAGTGGTAAGAGCGCAGCTAACTATGTGTGGATTAGGTGCACATCACAGATTCAACTCTTCTGCATACAAAAACTTGGTATTTAAGTGGTGAACATAGATGAGCATGCACATTATCTTCCAAATTGTGCACCACTGGCCATCAGGATTTATCGGCTACAAAAAAAATGAAATTATTAAGGATTCTTAAGTATAGGCAATATGTGCATTATCGTATTCTGTGATCTTTATAATAGTTAATTGCTATTTGTGTGTGGTGGAGTATATTCTCATTACTCTCTTATTTTGAAAATGAAAGCACGGGGAATAAATATGTCTATGGAGTAATTGTTTGTCTGCACTTTCAACTGTTTGGCTTAACTTTCTGGTTAACCCTTGTATACTAGCGGAAAGAATGTAACAAGAGTATTTGCATTTGAAATCAGGTAAATTGCGTCACAATTGGAATGGTGTCGTTGTGAGTTGTAATGTATTTGCTTTTTCTGTAAATGAAGGGTGTTTAGTGAGTACCAAGTAGAATGAACTGCAAGCATATATGAATATTATGGAATGTTATGACCAACTTTTTCACTTATTCTGTCTGAATTTTCTAAAATGTGATTTTTTATCTTCTTATTATTTGATAACATCCTTATCCATGACAAAAAGTAAGTGGGGTGAAAGTGCTACATAAGCAGTTACCCTCCCGCATAAAAGACAACACTGGGATAGCCATTACAAGAATGTATTCTGTAAACTCAATTAAGAACTGGTTTTGCAGCTTCGTGGCCGCATGGTGAGGAAGAGCTAACATCTGTTTGTTCTACCTTTTTCTTTTCTTACTTTGCGTCCCAGAACCCTGTTACTTCCTCTTCTGTTGAACTATTTAAAGGTGTTCTTACTAAGCTTAGGCATTAATTGTTTTGAAGCTCGTGATTTGCAACTTTCGACAATCAACTAAAATTGTTGTCTCTACATATAGGTTTTATTACTAATTTCTAACCTTGTCAAAAAAAATTTTACTAATTTCTAGAGATCAAATATGAAGTTCTTTTAGTTATGCTGTGAGACTTAGATGACTTTAATGACTAAGTGACAGATCAAGAGACATCTAGTTTTGAGGAACCCCTAATTTTCTAAAAGAGCAATTATCCAGCATTGAGAACTGGGTTTCAGTGGAGCGCAACGGGTATAGAGGAGTCAAATGTCTGACAAAAACTAGTTTGAAATTGAGGAATAATTTTGTTGATATATATTTATTACTCGTTAAAAGGTCTTTCCCTCTTATGGAAGAAGTATAGAATAGCCTGTAGCTACAAGAATATTTTTCTCTATTGCTGTTAGCCAATCATATATACAAGTCGGAATTGATGTATGCTCCAAAAGACAAGAAAAGTCAGCAAGGAGGAGTAATCTGCATGAACGGATGCTTAGTTCCTCTTAGAGAAATCTTCTAGTTCCAATTCACTGCCTGGTTAATGACATTCCATGTCGCGCCCCTTTTTTCTTCTGGCTTCCTACTAATCTTACATAGAAATTATTGACACCTTCATTGAAAATTATCAGATTCCAAGACTTCTTGTCTTCTTTGGATGTGTTAACTGATCTACAACATTTTTCCACCACCGTGGCTTGTGTAAATGACTTCTTTAGATACTATATTTGTTGTTTGTTTAGGACTTTTAACTTTCAAATACAATCTCTTAAACACACTACTGCGACAGCTGATTGACCCCGTGCTCTTGGAAAGAACTGTCAACATTGCTTTTTGAGTGGCTTACTGTTAGCACCCACAGTGATTCCAAATCCCACTTTGTATAATACTTTCCAATTTCATGTCTCCTGCCATATGTCTGATGTTTTTTGTCTCCCGGATCCGCTGTTTGCCTTCTCCACCCAATAGATCAATTTACTTTTTCAGGCTTGTTCCCTCCGCTTCAGATCTTTCCTGCTGTTTCCTAGTATTGGTTTACTATTGACCTTCAGTATTCCTTTTTCCGTTTCACATCCCTCTATCAGAATCACTGTTTTTCTAACTCACCAAATGGAATTTTCATTTCTTATTTGCTTCCCGCTGGAAACTTCTTTCCAAGTTCCAACTGCTCCATTTTCTCAATGCATGATATTGGTAGTCATGGGAATAATTGATGTGCTCGTGCTTTTTGATACTTGGATTCTTTTGCTTGTCTCCGACTTTTGGTTGAATATCAGTTTAACAGTACATTGTTAAGTTTTTCCAAGTATTTTAATAACTTGCATTGGGAAGACTGGAGAAGCAAAGTACAAGGTTGAGTTTGTACTTTTGATGAAATGAGCTGATTATCTATTTTGGAAATGAGAACTACCCCATTACGCAACTTCCAAAAAAGGAAGTGACAATTTTTCTATTTGTATATGACTTGATTTGTACTATTCTTTTTCATGGTCTTGTTTAGGTTGATCTCAAAGGTATCAAGTAGGGCTTGTAAATTAACTTCTCTGAGACTTTTTAGCCCAGTATGACACAGTTTACATGTTTACTGAAACACCAATCTAGTAGCACAAGAAAGCAATACTCTATTTCAGTTGGGTTTCTTCTTTCTAAGTACCACGGCTCCTCTCACTTTATCTTAGCTATATTTTTGTTTTTTTTTGAAGGTGTGGTAACTAACATGATATCATTCTTTGATTGCAGGGTTCTTTTTGACTTGCCGAATGCTTCTGTTGCAGTAGGCTCTATTTGTAATAGACGTGGTATGTAGTAATAATCCAATGGCAGTTTGTTTCTGTACTCGAACTATCGACTTTTGAAAATCGGAATAGACTCTAGCTCCTTTCTATATCATGCGAAACTTTCTTCCATCATATGTATCCAAGTTCCTCACAAAGCTTGAAGGACAAGAAAAAAATGAAAGAGTAACTAATTCATAAATAAATTTGAAGGTTTTTGTGTATTGAATCTTTAGTTGTACAGCTCAAACCAGAACTGGTCCACACGTTAGAAGGAAGACTCAAATTGCCCACCTAAGCTTGACATGTTTCTGGTTATTTTCTCTGTGAAAATCATTTCATAAAGTAATACATACTACACTTTTTTCTTCATTTATAAGCAAGCACTAGCTAGTTAGATACTCTCTTCATATTTCCTAATTTCCAGTTTTTGATAATATTCCTCTTACTAAAGACTTGGTCAGAGTTTCAAATGAAGCTTCGATGTCCTCTTTTTTCTAACCCCAAAAACTACTTTTTTGACTTTAACCACTTTTGACATCAAATAATCCATTGAGTTGTAAAAAGTTTGCACTATCATATCATATTCACCAATTGCTTTAGCTACTACCACTTTTTGGCAAAGGAGGAAATAAATTTACTTTGCTAAGTTGAGTTACTTTTTCTCAAATAAAAAAAAAAAAAATCAGAGAAGTGAACAAACTCTTTGTTAAATGAAAGCTACATTTCAGAGTATTGATTGAAGGACCACAATTAAAATGGGACACCATTTAGGTATTTTGGAAGCCATCTCTCTGGCATTCATATCCAATATTTGACCTTATTTGGGAAAACAATAATACCACTTACAGATATCCTACAATTTACGACAGCAACATGGGGTATTATTTACTATCATATCCGTTCATTTTTATTTGTCAATATATCTTTTTTTGTCGTTTCGCTTTTATTTGTCAAACGTATGTGGATACCGCATGTGGATTTTCCTAACTGGCTTGAAATGGACTTGCCGTAAACTTCTCTTCATTATTCCAAAGGTTATTGCTGCTTGTCACCTTCCACATTCTTGGAATTCAACATTTTTAATTTTTAATTATATTAGTCCCCACTCCCCTTTTACTAGGTAAATATTTCACTCTCAAATTATTTATCAACTACCTGTTTTACTAAAAGCTGCTCAGAGTCATTATTAACCATGCATTCAAAATTAAAATTTAGCTAGTAGTACTACAGTAGCTAATTTGAAATAAATAAATCATAAGTGGAGAAGTAAAAGGTGAATGTTATTTTGGGTAATAAGTAGTAAAAGAGGGAAACAGGGAGTACCTTATATAGTTACTTTCCGTAAAAATTCTTAATTAGTTGACTAATTTTTTGTGATAAGAATATTTAGTTGAGTACTTTGAAGTTGTAAAAGAAAACTAGTGATATTAACTTCACAGCTCGGTGATTACAGGGCTAATTTCAAATTTCTTATATAGTAGCTGAACTAATAGTGTTATCATCTCATAAAGTCTTTTACAAAATATAATTTTGTTACGGTTGAATTGGATATTGAGATTAATTTCTTAGATAATAATTATTAACCGAAGGAAAAAAAGATGGAAGGCCTAAAAGATGCTTGCATCAATGTAACTTTCCAAAAATTTATTTCATTCTTTTTAAAAAAAAAAAGTAACTAACTTTTTCTATTCATTTGTCAGTATTCATAACTAGTAACTCTGAATAATAAATACATTAAAAAAATGTGGTCACTTTTTGAAATAAAGCATTCATATTCCTCTTTTGCTAAGTCCAATAACCACTTTCTTGATTCACTTTTTGAATTCATTGAGTTCCTAAAGAAGAATTTGTTTACAAGAATAACCATATGGTTTTGGTCTATCATGCCACTTTATAGCTAATTTCACGCTTCAAATTGCGGGCAAATAATTATTTTTTTTTGTTACAAACATTATTTTGGTCAACTTAGGATCCCAATGTATTTCTTCATCTCCATCGGAGTATACATATACTATGATATTTATATATGATATCTACGTATTCTAATGGTATCAAATAGTAACTGAATCATTTTTTCATTGAAAGACTACTTATTCCTCCTTAATGCCATCAAAGTATGTGTATATACACAAACTGCGATGGTTAAATGCACACTGTAGTTAATAAAAAAGGGGGTATGTAAGTAAGGGGTTGACATTCGTAAATTGTTTTCCTTTTCAGTTACAAGTATTTTCTTTCTTATTTTATTATTACACAAGCAGCTCCCGTATTCACAATTCGCAAGGGTTGAAAATGGATTTCAGACAATATGAACAACAATAACTCGATATTCTCAAGTTCACCAATTGAGCAAGTTCGACATATCATCGCAAAGTAGTACGCTGAAAAATGAGAAAATTAATAATTACAAGGTGAGAAATCGAACATTTGTCGATAAAGTAAAAATTCAAATAGCTAATTAACTGAGCTAATAAAATTTTGTGAGTTAATTTTCTAACTTTGGTGTAGAGGCTTAATTGCTCATCAGCATTGATAATAAAATCAATTAAAAGCGTTAATCTTTGGTGATGCTATCACACCAACTTTCGAATTTTGTCAACCTAAGAAAAATGGTGGGGGGAAAAGAAACTGATCTTTTAGTAAATTTAATTACCTATTTGGTTATATTATGCTCCCCATTATAAAAGTGAAGGATTTTATACATGATTAAATTGTTTAATTAATAAACTAACCCACGTGGTACTTATAATGGCTTTTTACAAGTGTTTGGGACAATTAAGGATGATTAAATTGCTTCCACAATTAAGCCTAAATTACGTACTATCTTATATCCTCTTCGTCTATTATTATTTGTTATAATTTTTATTTTTAGAGTCAAATTTTAACATTTTAAGGTACATTTTTTTAAATTATATTGATATGCAAAAAATTGCAATTTATAGTACTTTTCATATAGTTTTTGAATATCTTGTTTAAAACATCAAATTAATGTAATCTAATATAACTTTGTAAATTAATCAAATTGACTTTTAAAAAGCGTAACATGACAAACAAAAGTGGACGGATGGAGTATGAAGTACAAAGAGGCAATTTCTAAATCAAGTATCAATTTTTTAGACGCATCTTTGTTAAACTAAAATGATTTGGTACCAATTATTAGTTCGTACAAAATAAATTCACCTCTAATTGTTTCACTATAAATTTTACTAAGGTAATTTTGTGGTCTTAAATAAAATAAATATAAAAAAAAAATTTAATCTCAAAAATGAACCCTCCTGAATTGAAACAAATTATTTGTTACGTGAATGCTACATTGCACATTCTTATATGTAAAGGACCACAATATTTAGGATATCTTTTTGTAAACCATTTCATATCCAAAAATTTATGCTCTTGTACTATCTTGTGAAATATAAAATATAATATGAAAAAACGATTTTTGAAAAAAAAAATCAGAATGTTATATTAAAATGGTACAATAATGAAAGATTGTTTTGTGTCCTTAAATTATTATATCTCTGTGTATTCTTAACTGGCTTGAAATGGACATTCTATTATATTTTGTGTTTATTACTCAAAAATCTTGTAATTCTAATTTTTGTTTTTAGAAATGTCTAATGTTTGATCACTTAATCAAAAATATTTAAAGATCAATGACTTTTTTAATAAAAATAGGAAAAATATGTTATATATATGACACTCTACATCGACGTATAAAACTCATTCTTCTCAATTTATTTTATTATTCTAAGGAAAAATTAATTAGTTAATTAAGCTCCATGCACCAGCATTAATATTACTACCTAATAGGTTTATTGAGGGTTAAATTTGTTTACTCAAAATAAGAACATGCCATGTATTACAACAAAAAGAAAGGAAAAAACTCGATTAAATATATTTGATATTTATAAAATGGTATATTCACCGTTTAATTTATAAGATATTTACGTTAAATCAAAAAATTAAAATGAGGATAAAATATCACTTGATGATATAAAGCAAAATAAACATTTTTTTCATTTGTTAATTTAAAATGTAAATTTCAGTAGAAATAAATTGTGTACCTCGTGTAATATTAATTAATTACTTAAATTCTACGTTTCGAATTATTTCATCACGAGATATCTTATCAACATATCTGTCCTACTTCAATTTTATTTTTATTTTTTAAATAAAGAAATAATGAAGATGGAGAAAACATGCGTTAGGTAGGAAAATAATTTTGAATTTGAATAATTTTAGGCTGTCAAGTTGATTCTTAATTAACAATTGACACCAGCCACTCTAATCAAGAGGCTAATTCATGATTCAATTTTATAAATTAAGATTTAAATATCAAATTTATTATACACTTCTGAATTTATAAGTTCAAAATTAAATATATTTATTAAGAAAAAATTAACAATTCCTTTAATACTTCAAAGATTTGATTAAATAATTTGAGGTGAAAAAAACATTTTCATCAGTGTTCAAAATTCTAACCTTTTTAAATAATGTATATAATACTACTAATTCATAGAATAAATACATTTGTTCCGTAATTAATATTGTAGTTACTAATGTACTATGTAATAGTCCAATAGACATGTGAATACGCAATTATAAATACAATTTCATTCGTAATCACATGACCTATATGTCACTCGTTGATTTGATTTTGTTCCATCTCATAACGTCAAAAATAATATATAAAAATATGATATTCGATAATACATGCAACTTCTTCAAATCTATGCTAACTTAGATAAAGGTAAGACATATCGAGAAAAATAAAAAATTAAGTTAATTGGGAATATGGTTAGGCTATATATATATTTAATTTAGGCCAATATTTCTAAAAGTTTTAAGTCTTGTGAAAGATATATATATATGTTAGTAATTAAAATGGTATAGAATTACTATATTTAAAGAATTTCTTTTAATATTGAATTGAGAACGCTCATATTGAATTACATAAATAATAGATTTCACGTAATAAAAATAAAAATAATTTAACCTATAAATATACGCTTTGTGTAATAAGGTTGGAAAGAAATGTACAAAAAAATTCAAATATTTTATGGGCATACTTTTGCCCACAGTTGACCAAAATCACGTGCATAATTAACCTCCTTAATTCCTTATTATTATTAACTAAAATTGGAATTAATTTCTGTTCCTCAAATATTTTTCCTTTTATTCATATATTACTGATTACTATAAGTAGTAAGTACAAATTCACAAGTT